TGGGCATAGATAATGCCCGGTTTAATCCCGTCTCCACACCCCTGAAAGGATTCACAGGAGAAAGCATTTTATCCATGGGAGAAGTAGAGCTGCCCGTCTCTTTAGGGGAAGACCCTTGTCGAATCACCAAGCTAATCAAATTCCTCATCGTCGACAAGCCATCTCCCTACAACGTCATCTTAGGGAGGCCAACCATCCATACATTCAAGTTTGTACCTTCCTCCTACCATCAGAAGTGGAAATTCCCGACCCCCTATGGAACGGGGGAAATACATGGAGATAGACGTCTCGCCCGAGAGTGCTATGCAAGGGCCTTACGGGAACCTTCCAAGAAGCCTAAACCATCCGGAAGGGGAGACGACACCCAAAAATCCGACAAACGGAAGTGGGTCAATGCGATCATTGAGGACAATAAAGAAATCCTCATCAGTGTACCAGACGATAGCATCAAGCTAGCGGCTGTCGAAGAGCTTAAGCTCATAGAGCTCACACCTGGAGATGATTCCAAACTCCTACGCATCGGATCCGATTTAGATCCTGAGATGGAGAAGCAATTAGTCAAATTCTTACGGCACAATGGAGACGTGTTCGCTTGGAAAGCTCAAGATTTGTCAGGCATCCCCTCTCATGTAGCTCTACATCGGCTTAACGTCGACAAAAGGCTGAAGCCGATCAAGCAAAGGAAACGAACATTTGGACCCGAACGTAACAAGCACATCAAGGCAGAAGTGGCAAAACTCCTTGAAGCGGGCCACATACGACCAGTTCAGTATCGTGAATGGCTGTCGAACGTAGTACTCGTTCCCAAGCCGGGTGGCAAGTGGAGATTATGCGTAGACTTCACTGGCCTCAACAAAGCCTGTCCTAAAGACCCATTTCCTTTACCCATAATCGATCAGCTCATCGATTCGACCTCGGGGTGCGAACTCCTCAGCTTCCTCGATGCATACCAAGGGTATAACCTGATCTTACTTGCACCAGAAGATCAAGAGAGGGCTAGTTTCGTCACTGACCAAGGCATCTACTGCTATCAAGTCATGCCCTTCGGGTTAAAAAACGCAGGAGCAACCTACCAGCGTCTAGTGAACAAAATGTTCGCATATCAGATCGGTAAAAATATGGAGGTGTACATCGACGACATGCTCGTCAAGAGTGTCAAGGTCTCGGACACCCTAACTGATCTGGATCAGTGTTTCGCCACCCTGCGAAAATATAAGATGAAGCTCAACCCCCTCAAATGTTCATTCGGAGTTAGATGAGGCAAATTTTTGGGTTATATGATTTCGCAGCGAGGAATCGAAGCTAATCCCACGAAAATCGAAGCAATCACCTCCATGGCTCCGCCAACATCGATCAAGAAAGTTCAACAACTCAACGGCTGTTTGGCATCCCTGAATAGATTCATTTCAAGATCAGCGGACAAGGCTCTCCCATTTTTCAAGATTTTAAGGGGAGGAAAAAAGTTTGAGTGGGATGAGGCATGTCAAAAAGCCTTCACTGAGCTAAAGTCATACCTCGCATCACCACCCTTGCTTACAAAACCTCAGCCGGGAGACACCCTCATGTTGTACTTAGCTACCTCGGCTGATGCCATCAGCGCGGTCCTCATCCGAGATGGAGGAAAAGGTCACCAACCCATATACTACATAAGTCGCGCTCTTCAAGGAGCCGAGCAACGCTATACCAATATGGAGAAGCTCGCTCTCGCCCTCATCAACGCAGCCCGGAAGCTTCGACCTTACTTCCAATCACATCAAGTGGTGGTTCTCACCAATTATCCACTGAAGCAAATACTAAGGAGTCCCGAAACGTCCGGACGATTAGCAAAATGGGCAATAGAGCTAAGTGAATACGGAGTGGAATTCAAACCCCGCCCGGCTATCAAAGCGCAAATATTGGCTGACTTTCGAGTCGAAATGACCATAGTAGAAGAAAGCACCTCTCTACCTACTTGGTCCGTCAGCGTCGATGGATCTTCCACTGCCACATGAGGTGGAGCGGGCATCGTACTAACGAACCCCGACGGAGACGAATTCGAGTATGCTCGACGTTTCGAATTCACAGCCTCGAACAACGTTGCTGAGTACGAGGCACTGATAGCGGGAATCCGCCTCGCCCTAGCAGCCGGAGCGCGCAAGCTCCTAATCCAAAGCGACTCTCAGCTCGTCGTCAACCAAGTACTTGGAGCTTACGAGGCTAAAGAAGACACCATCGCCAAATACTTAGCTCTCGCGCATACTCTCTTATCTAAATTCGAGAGCTACGAGATAAGACAAGTACCTCGCTCCAATAACGTCCATGCTGACAAATTAGCTAGGCTTCGAAGCTCCATGGCTAGCATCGGAAGTCGGAAGGTAACGCTCCTCACCTCACCTCAGCCAGAGATAACTTCACCCACTGAAGTACAGTACACCGAGAAGGATGAACCATGCTGGTTCACTCCAATCCTGAAGTATCTCAAGAAGGGAGAACTTCTTGCGGATTCCACCGAAGCACGAAAGTTAAAAACGAGAGCCGCTCGCTTCGTCATAGTGGGAGAAGAGTTATACAAACGAGGGTTCTCATTCCCTTACCTCAAGTGCCTCGACCCGACCACAGCGGATTACGTACTTAGAGAAGTACACGAAGGCATCTGCGGAAATCACTTAAGCGGGAGAACTTTAGCTCTCAAACTACTGAGGCAAGGCTACTATTGGCCAACGATGCATGAAGACGCGAAGAAGTTAGTCCGGAAATGTAAGCCCTGCCAAGAGCATGCAAATATCACTCACCTACCAGCGGCATTAATGCAACCAATTGACAGCCCCATCCCTTTCGCTCAATGGGGGATGGATTTAGTTGGACCATTTCCGCCCGCTACAGGAGGACGCAAATACCTCATTGTAGCAGCGGACTACTTCACCAAATGGGTGGAAACTGAACCCTTAGCACGCATCCGAGAGGAAGAAGTCATCCAATTCCTATGGAAAAACATCGTGTGTCGCTTTGGAATCCCACGTTCCATTATCTCAGATAATGGAACACAATTTTGCGGTGACAAAGTGAAGAATTGGTGCCTTGGCTTAGACATCAAACAGTTCTTCACATCCGTAGCCAATCCACAGGCTAACGGCCAGACGGAGGTCACGAATCGCACCATACTCCAACACCTTAAGACAAGGCTTGGAAGTGCCAAAGGGAAGTGGGTGGACGAATTGCCTAACGCACTATGGGCCTATCGCACAACCCCACGAGCAGCAACCGGAGAGTCGCCTTTCAATCTAGCTTTCGGAACAGAAGCTATAGCACCCGTTGAAATAGGTGAACCATCTTGGAGAATCACCAACTATGATCCAGCAGCTAATGAAAAAGCTATGCGAGGTAGCCTAGACCTTGTAGAGGAGCTACGATAGATCGCATACATCCGGCAACAGATGTACAAATCACGCATGGCCAAGGGATATAACTCAAAGGTCCGTCCCCGCTCCTTTCAAGTTGGGGATTTAGTCCTCCGGAAAGCTGAAGCCTCTCACCCCATTGGCAAGCTCGACCCAAAGTGGGAAGGACCATATAAAATCACAAAAGTGGTCAAAACTGGAGCATATCGCCTCGAGAACATTGATGGACACCCTATACCCAGAACATGGAATATAGGGAACCTCAAACGGTTCTACGCCTAAGGTATACACCTGCCTTACCTCAGATCAGTTGAGGTCACCATCCATACCCCTTCTATATGAAAGTTACTTACAAATTGTCACATCTGCAGGCTCCGCGACCTTCCACGTAACTCACCTTGTAAGCTGTTTCTACATGGTTAGAAATTTTCTACTACATAACTAGGTACGTTAACATCCTACCTAAACTGGGGGGCTAGTAAATTTATTTTCACCAGCAATTCATCATCACATCCCACCATCTTATTACAGATTGAGAGCCAATTACGAGGGGATACATATTACTCAATCAACGGCCCAAAGAGCGAGAACACTCCATACCACATCGCCAAGGGTAACTACACTTCCACTAACATTCAACACACGGATGATCTTATTTACTCCTACTAACGTGAAAAAATAATTCCACTAGCAGGCATGATCGCATAGTAACTCGCAGCAACTCACGAGTTGATTTCATATCTCGAAGTGCGAGGAAGAAAAAACATCCCCGTAGTATGGTACGTAGATCAGCAATGCACATCCCCTCAGCTTCAATTACTAAGTCTTCAATACAAATGCTTAGACAAAATTCCTTTTTCTCAATTATATTTGACAGGCATAGAGACGCCAAAGGAATTCATTTTACCATCAGCACAGCAAAACGAACGAGTACAAGGAAGACGTGGAAGAAGAACAAGTGTAGTACAATCACTTAGAACAATTATTATCAAGTCAAAATTTTTTTTTTTGCTCCACCAGTCGTTATTTACCTTCGCCTCACGTAGGCCTATCGCATTAATCATTTACTTACATTCGCCTCACATAGGCATGTAACAACTCTCCTTTGCTATCGTTGAATAAATAATACTTTTCGCTTTACTATCTACGCCTTTACGTCTATACAAATTACCTCTTACCATGAGTTCAAGTCAATACCACCCTACAAACACTTAGAGAGATTTAGATAATCCGTATAGCCTGGCCAGCTGGATTAGCTAAGTCCTTTTATTTGTTTCACGAGGTGTTAATTTTAAAACGTGGCCACGGACAAATATATTTAAGACCCAAGCGGTCCGAACAAAGGGCACGACCCTTAACAAAAACCTTGGGAGACTGATCCCCTCTTCAAGTACATCGCGTACAATGCTAAGTGTAAATACATATAAGCAGCGCATTAACTCTTGACAATGTCAAAACAAATAATTCAAGATATCAAACTTCCAATGTCAAACAAGGAAAAAATTCAAACGAAATAGTAGAGGACATACCCATCTACATTAGTGAGAAAAATAAACTAAGACTCCAAACAAAAAAAAATATATATATATATATATATGAGTTTAACTATCCTAGCAAATAAATCTAAACTCCCCTACTGCGGGTGGAAGACGTCCCCACAGTGGGATCATCAGCAACAATATCAGCCACAAGCTCTGTGCCTGTCCCATCAACATCTACCTCATCATCCTCTCCATCCGAGATACCAGCCTCCATCCCTCGAATTACTTTCTCACTGATACCACCCGCATCGCGAAGATATTTGCGACAAGCACGGACTAATGGCTTATAGACCACAGCCAACGCATGCTCCTCAATCATAGCAGCACACTCATCACTACCTCGGAAGCTAAGCTTGGTTTCCTCCACGATGGACTCCCTATAAGCCGCACCACCTGATGTTGCGAGAAACCTCTTCCCCGTCGCCTTCTCGACTTCGTATTTCTCCTTCAGCTGATCATAGCACTCGTTCAACTTATGAACATCATCCTTATACGCCTTCGCGTCACCTCGGATAACCTCGAGCTCTTCTCTCCTTTGAGCAAGCTCCTCTGTCCTCTGAGCAAGCTCTTCCGTCCGTTGAGCAAGATCGGACCGCGCTATCTCCAACTGGCTTAGAAGTTCATCCTCACGCGTCTGACTTCGAACTCGCTCCTCTTCCTTCCTAGCTTCCACATTCCTACCATGCTCCACGAGATATCTCCAAGTCGCTACCAACTAAAAAAAAAGGTTTACACAAGGAAGAGAGGAAGTAACACTTCATCTGTTTTTAAATAAACAACACTCACCCGACATATGTCACCACCAGCTAACTCCAACATGTGAGAAGGGCCCTTACCAGACATCCGAGCACGGTCATACTCCCGAACGAATCCCTCGGTACTCAACATAGGCAGATCATGTCCGACACATCCCAATAAGACTCCTTACCGTCGCGATTCACACCATAGGTAAACAGTTGTTTTCCTCCTCCACCATGGAAAGCATAGGTCTCCTCTGGGTCTACCCGTGGACGCTTAGGCACAGCCACGTACTCGGTATCCACCCTCTTTCCCTTACCACGATCCCTCGTCGAGGGACGCCTCTCCATTTCACCAGCACTGCTACGGTCATCTGCGACTACTCGAGGAGCTTCCACATGGACCTCCTCACGAGGCAAACCACTTGAAGAACCTCCCAATGTAGAGGGAACCTTCTTCGACGTCCCATTTGCCTTAGCTCGGAGTGCCGCAAATGTGATACCCCCGTCTACAAAAGATAACAAACACATAAGAGACATGAGTTATACACTACCAAATAACTACAAAAAAAAAAAAAAAAAAAAAAAAAAAAAAAAAAAAAAAACCACAAGTCAAGGCAACAAAAGAATATACGGTGCTGACCCTTCTTCGCCTTTGGTATCAAAACCCTTGGGTCAAATTCCACATCACACAACCTAAACTCCTTAATCCTCTTCACCATATTCGTAGTTATCGTGAAACTTTTGCACGTAGGACTCCATACCACAGGGACGTCGAAAGTGGGAGCCCTCACATAAAAAAATAGGTTTTCCACTCCCCCAAAGATAACTTCACACTCTTCACGAATTGGTAGGGAACGCGAGGATGAAAACAAAAGAAAGGCCATTTATTGGGCCGATGCAGCATAAATAACGCCTGGAACAAACTCACAGTCACAGGCAAACCCACTAAAGACACTCTATGGTAAAACGCCTCAAACATAAGAATTGCAGTCGGAGTTAGCTGACTGTACCCTATATTGAATTCCTCGCAGACCTTCAACAAGGTCGGATGCGGAGTAATCTGAGAGGTACACGTCACATACGCCAAGAAAACCGTATGAAATCCATCGGGTGGCGAATACAACCGGTCTCCCTGCTGAGGCAACAACAATTCGATATTTCTAGGTGCTCCAACTAGACGACGAATAGACTGCAAATGCTCTTCCGTCAATTTACTATCAAAATCAACTAAGTCCAAATTAATTGGCTTATTTTTCTTTTGCCTCCTCGTGTCAACCTCAACTTCACCTGGCGGAATATCATCTTCCTCCTCCTCTTCATCCGTCAGCTCAACTTCACTACTTGGTACCGCATGATCACTCGCCAAAGGAGCTTGATTCGAATCATCACTATCGCTCCAAAAATCCACGACTCGACGCCCATAGCGACGTCTACTAGAATCTGCTTCATCAACAGTACGGCAAATATTAATATTGTTGCGCACTTGTACATCGTCACTCCACGATTCAATGATTTCTCGTCGCCCAAAACTCCCCCTACTCACTCCATCTTCGACATCGATGCGCTCCTTACTTCGCCCGACCCTATCATGTGATTCGTGTCGAAAAATAGGCCCGAACGCGCTCCCACGCGCGCCCGGCACCTCGGACGACGCGCGGCCACGCGCGCGCTCTCCTTCCATTGACGCGCGTTCACGCGCTATGCCACCCCTCCCCATTGACGCGCGCGCACGCGCGCAAAGGCCTCCAGCCAATGGCGCGTGCGCGTCACAAAGCTCCCCCTCACTAAGCACGCGCGCGCGTCTCTCCGGACGTGCGCTTCCACGGCCCACGTCAGCAGCCCAGTCAGCCGGCTCCCCCGCATGCGACGCGCGCGCGAGTCCATCGGATACTGGGCCAGACGCGCGCACGCGCCATCTTCTCTCTCCATTCCCCTCGTCATTCGTGCCAGCCGCCAGCTCCACTCCAAAGCTCGGCTCAGCAAACACCTCGGGGCGCGCGCGCCCACTCCCACCTTTATATCGGCCGGCTTTATTCAAGCCGACACCCGAAGCCGAGCCACTCCGAAAACCACCATCTCCCTTGCTAGATCCGACATGTGTACAACCCTCCACATCTGAAAGCACTAATTTCTCGCGTTCAATACCCACCGTACCAAAGGTTTTCTCGCCCCCCTCGACCGGATCTCGAAGTTTAATACACAAAGACTTTGACTTACTCGGGTTCGACATGATATGTTTTAATCCGGATGAAAAACGAAAAAATTTCTACTCTACCACAAAAAATAATTCTCAAGAGAAGAATAGCACAGAAGAAGACATAGAGTTAACAGAACATACCCATATTTGTTGCAAGAGTTGAAGTTTAATTCTTTCCACCGCAAAAGGAGTCTATTTATCTGGCTCTGGTATAATATTTTAAAACCTTAAATATATACCTTGCTGCCAAACAAATACAATTATCCCTTATTTAAATTAAGAAATAATTTCACTGCCAACGGAAACTATTTAATCCACGGCGCTATTAACTCTCGACACGACCCGGACCCCTCTACGCAAGTCCCCGTCTCGAATCGAGAGTTGGGGGGCTTAATGATATATCTAAATGGGCCGGCCCAACGGGCCCTCAAATTTATCTACTAATTGGGCCCACTACGCGAAAGCCCAAACACCTTCAAAGTAAGGCTTGGGCCCAACAAAGTAAGCCCAACCCAATCACCCATGTATAAATAGACGTTTTACTCATTCATAAAGGTACGTTATAATTATTCACAATCAATTCCGAGTTTTATTCTCTCTACAATCTCTATGATCCGTACATCTGACTTGAGCGTCGGAGGGGTTTCCGCCGGATCAACCCCCGGCTTAGTTCACGTGTGCTCATTTTGTAGGGACCTCAGGATCATCGAGTTATCAAGCTACTGATCCGCTTTGCTCTCCCAGCTCATTTTCTACACCCCCTAGGTGAGCTATATTTTAGCATCATCACAAGGATTCACGGACAAATTTCTTCCGCAAATGGAGCCCTAATCCAGAAGGCCTTCAAGGATTTGAATCCCGGACTCCATATCTAATTTCAGATTTGGGGAGAAAAGAAGAACCCTAATTTGGTTGATCCAATTCGGGGGAGAAAAAGAGAGAGCCTAAAGTGACAAAATTACCCTTTCAGATTACTCAAATCCGACGAGAATTTCACCGGGAACACACCTTTGGGGCAAAGCACAACAAGTTGTATATTTTGAAGGGGCAAAGTGCAATAAGTATAAAACCATACATTTACTTCACAAGGCCATTTGCAGAACCAGACAATGCAGTAGATACAATTGCATTTTCATGTTTATAATGTGATTATGAACAACATACAAAATGGCCATATTCCTATTTTACCCCTCAATGTTGTTCTTTGAAAAGATCGCGTCCAATTATCATTCTTCGAATTTCACTTGTCCCAGCTCCAATTTCGTACAATTTTGCATCTCGAAGCAAACGCCCAGTTGGATATTCATTTACGTAACCATTCCCACCCAGACACTGAATCGCCTGAAAAATAAATAAAATATTAATATATTAAAATTTCATCCTTAATTCCATCAAGAACCGAAGAAACACAAATATAAAGTTGAATTTAATTTTTTTTTAATTTTTTATTTATTGAAGATGAGATTTGTACCTGAAGAGCAACTTGTGTGGCTCTTTCAGCTGCACAAAGTATAACTCCAGCACAGTCCTGGATTATAAATAGCATAGCATGTTATCCGAAACTTTGAAAAAAAAAATAATTAATTAAAAAAAAAAAGAAAAAGATAATAAATAATGTATATGATAAACACCTTGGGGTTGATAATCCCATTTTCGCAATCCCTAGCAACCGAGTACACATACGACCTGTAATAACGGAATCGAAATTTTTTTCAGCATTTAAAAAATGCATGGATTAATTAATTAATTAAATGTAATTTATATCAATCCTCTCAACCTTGAAGACTGTAACGAAGTATACATATCAGCAATCTTTCCCTGCATTTAATCAAATATACAATGTATTGAGTTCAGAAATGGGTTCTTCCTGAAGAACTAAATACGAGTTTTGTTGCTTTATTAATATATGATATGATGTTGTTAAAAAAAAAAAAAAAAAAAACCTGTATAAATTGAAATTCTCCAATTGGTTGACCAAATTGTTCTCGTTGTTTGACATAGGGAAGAACAACGTCAAGACATGCCTGCATGATTCCGAGCGGTCCTGCTGCCAAAACAAGCCTCTCCAAATCTAACCCCGACATCATCACATAAACTCCTGTTGCCAGATTTTTTTATATCAATAATATATTATTAAATCAAAATCAGATTTTTTTTGTCCAAATCACGACTCAATTGCCACATAAATATCAGTATCTATGCCAAAATAAGTTGTATATAACCTTTTCCTTCCTGGCCAAGAATGTTTTCTTCCGGAACAAAGCAATTCTCGAACACAAGCTCACATCTGCAATTTATTTGATGCAATCATAATTAATCAGGCTGTTTTTATCGAAAAAGACGAGTAAACAAATAAATTGATTGCTTGCTGATAGAAAATACACAAATCGAAGCAGCAGAAAGAAAGAAAGAAAATAATGTTTCTTACGTATCACTTCCACGCATTCCCAGTTTGTCTAGTTTCTGGGCAGTACTAAATCTGCAATTAATCACATTGTTTAAGACAGAAACACAATTAATCGAAGATTGCTGCTAAAACATTTAGTACTAAAATGTTTTTCATTATCATTGTCAACAAAAGGTACGGTAGAAACATACCCAGGCATGTCTTTCTCTATGATAAAAGCTGTTATTCCTTTTGATCGAGCTGCCAAATCTGTTTTCGCATACACAACCTGATTCAATGTTATAACACATATTCAGTGGATCGACGTATTTAAATTCCAAATCATAAGTTTGACATTGGAATTACGCACAGAAACTAGGCATTTTAAGGATGAATACAAAGTTATGTCTTTTTCGAGTATTTCCAGGGATCGAATTAAAAGTAATAAAAATGCACTTGTATTTGTTAAGGTATTTTATCTTCCCATTCTCTTAGTTATTTCCGACACTTCAGACCAGGAAACGATACGCAGACATCTTTGCAATAAATAAAAATGCCATATTCAAGCTTCATTTCGTAGTCCAGTAAGATTAACAAACACCACATAAATGCACATACAATTGAAGAAAAACGGAAGCAAAATGTTAAGTCGTTAGTGCTGATAAGCATTTTGGAGAATAAATTTTAACGGAAATTAGAACCATTTATATTTTACATCAATTTTTAAAAATCGAACTTAGCATTCAACAAGCACGTCTTCCTCTAATGCACTCATAATCATGCTCCCTGGTCAATTTTGTATTTCGTAGAATCCCACTAGGGTTCCAAATTTTACTTTCAGCAATTTTTTATCGAGAAAGTGATAAAAATTAGGTTTAATTATTTTGTTATTGAAATTCTCTTTTTAAGTAATATTCAAGAACAAACAAATGAACTTATACAGAACTGAAGGAGTGGAAAAAAAGGAAAGAGCGTCAAATACTAAATTTGAATAAACACGAGCGGGGGCGCAATAAATCATGCGAGAAAAGTGAGTGAGTGTGAAAATTTAAGGATTATTTTTTGATTAAAAGTACCAGTGTCTGAGCAGTAGGGCCATTCGTGCACCACATTTTGTTCCCATTTAGAACAAAACCACCATCTGCACGATCGGCTTTGCATTTCATACCAACAACATCCGAACCAGCTAAGTAATAATACAAAAAAATCATTTATTCAGTTCACAAAATAAAATAAAAAAAACGTGATGTGTAATATGTCGAGAAATCAAAGGTTCACGTCAATTACCATTTGGTTCACTCATTGCAAGAGCTCCAACATGCTCCCCGCTTATTAGCTTCATCAGAATTAAGTAAGAGACAGAAGTTAGTTTGTATCTATAACAATACATATATATATACACAGTGAGACGACGTATAAAATAAAGCCTTTGAAATAGAAGTGAAACCTTCGGCAGGTACTTTTGCTTCTGAGCAGGAGTTCCATTCCTCACCTTCAAATAATCAGATTTTACAAGCTTAATAACAAGTACGATGAATGGTTGAAACGGAACGCAAACTTACGGGTAAATAAATAAATAAATTAATTAATTACCAATTGATTGATGCATAGGTTCGAATGTGCACCGTATGAAAGACCAACCGAACCTGAAGCACGGCTAATTTCTTCCATAGCTATGCAGTGATATAAATAGCCGAGGCCAAGTCCTCCGTATTCCTCTGTAACATTCAGTTGGATTTTAGATACGTTCATCGAGATATATACAAGAATATATATATATATATATATATATATATATATATATATATATATATATATATATATATATATATATATATATATATAGTCAGGAATTCATGCAATAACCAATACTAATATACAACTAGACAATGAAATTAGATATAAGCTAAACACGATACAACAACTTATTTTGACAGTGACTATGATGCATAATACAACAACGGACATAACTACGGCTATTTAAAAAATCATTATGTTTCTACGAGAAGTATATTCTGGTAATGAAAAGAAGGCCGAAATTGACATGGACAAAATTCTATCGGCATGTAATAATAATGCACAGCCAAATTCGTCACAAGTTTCAAGAACCATGAACATACTACTGTCATTAAGACATAATAACATAAGATAAAGTACCAAGTACATGTCGGAAAATTATAATCGAACAGCACAAGAGAGATAGAGAGATGAAACCGGAATTGATGAATGAAAATGTACAAACAAAAATATGTGCCATTTAGAAACTGTCGAAGCGGGAGTGTAGTACCTGGGGCAGTGATTCCGTGGAGATTAAAATCTCCCATCAACTTCCACAAATTAACTTCCTGAAAAGTTAAAAAGCTATAAGTCGAGGCTCGTTTCATTAAAATGACATAAAAAAAATATAAAACCAGCAAGTACATAGTTGATAGTACAACCTCCGGAAAATAATTTGATTTGTCGATTTTTGCAGCATGAGGAGCAATGTTTTCTTGAGCAAATTGAGCCACACTTTCTTTAAACTGTTGACACCACAAATAAAAACAGGTTCTCAAAATTATGCATAAAGCTAAGACAATATTTTTTGCAACTAAGGTAGAAAGCTGGTTAAGAAAATGCAATTGAATAATTACACATCCCTATATATAAATATATATACACATATTGAATTTAATGGAATTCAAAACTCATAACACATATTACAAAATTGATTTATATAATATCAGAACATCATATTACAAAATTGGGTATCAAATCACTGAACTAACCGCAATTTCAAGGGCGATGGAAAATAAATAAATAAAATAGAATCAACAGTGAATATTGTAATTCAGTGGAGCAACAAATTCAGACATAGGATACCTGTTTCTGGGTATCATCGAAGAGGAGTGATGTGGAGAAAGCAGCGACATGGTGGGGTTGTTTTCTGAATAATGAAGAAGTCAGGGACCTCAGTGCAAATAACTTGTGCATCTTCTTCTTCTTGCACCAGAAAGGCTTGTTTGGTGGGCGATGAATATGATGGATTAATTTAGAAAGATGATGAGAGTAGTGTAGGAGTTATTAATTAATTAATTAATTTAATAGCCTAAAAATATTAATTGGAAAAGGCTTGAAAATCAACTACTATTTGTGTTTAACAAATTCCAAGTTCGGACGCAACCCAATTTTGTTCCAATCCAAATCTTCTCTTTTATACATATATTGCTCCCAATTTCCGATGGATGACGTGTACTTACATTTCATTGAAAATAATCTTATCATACTATGATTACGATGAGTTCATTATCGCCTACTTATTTATTGGATCAATAATAAATAAGGTGGTGTTTGCAAATAATTATTTAAAAGCAGAAGTTAGTGATTATGAGTTAAGTCAGTTTTAAGTGCTTATTTCTAAAAGTTAGGGGTGTTTGCAAATATTCTAAAAAATGAACTTAAATAGAAAAACCAGAGTTAGGGAGGCTTTTAAAAAAATAGCTTAAAACAGATTATTTTAAGAGAAGCAAAAGCAAAAGTTAATTTTGCAAACACGTGAAAACAGATTATGAGGAAAAGAAAGCTTATAATCACTTTCAAAAAGCTTTTGCAAACACCATTGGGCTACTTATTAAAAAGGATAATTAGTGAGAACACCCAACGTATTAGAATATATTAACCTGGATCCATAAACTTTTGCAATATTAGTGAGAACCCCTTAATTATTTAATTAAATTAATATTAATACAATTATGAAGTGTTATACCTATATTATCCCTAATTACCAAATCTTATATTTACAAACCATAGCCACAATGTCTATAACAAACTGTCGTTTTCTAATCCCATCACCTTTTTTCTTCTTTTCTGAAATTGAAATTCAATAGTATCGGCGACGACGGTGGCGGTGACGAAGGCGGCTCCATATCTCGACGACGGTGGCGGTGAAGGTGACGAAGGCGGCTCCATATCTCGACAACGACAAGGGGGCGCCGCCAAGTCGAGGACGAACAACGGCCTTTCTGGTCTCCCCCCTTCCTTTCCGAGGGATGAGCAGATCTGCTGGTACTTTTTTTTTTGTTTTTTTCCTTCAATTTTTGGAAGCATTCCTGCAATTTTCCTTGGAAGACCGCCTCCACCACCGCTGTAATGAATCGATCGAGCTCGAGGAGGAGGTATTGTTTGGGAGGATGATTATCGTTCAATCAATAGTTGAACGTATGTTCGTTTGTTGAAATTTTGTTTGTGTTACTCAAAAAAATATAGTTCTTCTCGTTACAGTTGTAGTTGGTTTCAATAATAGTCGTTTTTGTTGGAATTTTGGTGTGTTTTTTTGCTTTTGTTTTCGTCGATTTCAATAATTTGTAGATGATTCAATATAGTTGTTTTCGTATAGTATAGTTGTTGTTTTAATTACTTTTAGTTAGATTGAATAAATAGTTGATTTAATAAATAGTTGATTTAAGGATGATATCGTAAAAGATGGTTTTTGTGATTCGGTCAAAAATTAAAGGAAGACCAAGGTACTTTTTCCCAGCATTACCAGGTTTGATTTGAATAAATTGGCAAAAGTTTCTTTGAAGCGAGCGAGGGGTATTTTTTGAGAAAAAAACTTTCGATTTATTCCAACAAATATTTAATCATGATTCGTCAGCAAAAGTTGAGAGCGTATCATGGATGAATTCAACAGATTTGGTATTAGTATTAGAGAAAATAATGCAATCATCTGCAAAACAAAGGATAGGAACAGTAGGACCATTTTTTTGGATTTGAAAAGCATCAAATTTAGCAGATTTATGACCTTCCAGAATTGCTAAAACGAGGAAATTAAGACACAAGATGAAAATATAAGGGGATAACGGATCACCTTGTCGAATACCACGTTGTGGTTTCCAATAGCTAGAAGTGGACCCATTAATAGATAAACAAAAAGAAACAGATTCAATGCATGCCATAATCCATTCTATCATTTTCTTAGGGAAATTAACTTTTGTGAGAACCATTCGTATGAAGTTCCATTCAATTTTTTCATAAGCTTTTTCAAGGTCGATTGTAAGGACCATATATGAAGTTTTTGATTTTTTTCTTTTCATAGAATGGAGAAGTTCATGTGCCATAATTACATTGTTACCAATGTGTCTTCTGGGGATAAAGGCATCATGGAATGGAGATATAAGATCATTGATGAGAAGTCGGATACGATTGACAAGGATATTGGAAATGATTTTATACAAGACGTTACAAAGACTTATAGGGCGAAAATGGTTAACCACATAGGGGTTAGCAAATTTCGGAATCAAAACAATTTTATTGTTTATAAATTGCAGAATATGGTTAGAGTCGAAAACTTTGAAAATCGTGTTGTTAACAGGATTTCCAACAATCTCCCTATAGGTTTTGTAAAAATGCCCATTTAATACTTCAGGAACCGGGGCTTTATCAGACCCAATTCTAGATAAAGAAGCTTGAATCTCTTCCACCGAAATGGTTTTAGAGAGAGGTTCATGGCTTGTGTCTGAGATTTTGCCGCAGTTAATATTATGGAAAGTACGTATACTAGAGTTATTGGCGGTATAGAGGGAAGTAAAGAAAGTCGTACAAACAGATTGAATGTCCTGAAGTTCAAAAATACATTCATTATTCTCCAGTTTTAAACTTTGAATAAAATTTCTTCTTTTTCGATTAGAAGCAAAAGCATGAAAGAATTTTGTATTATTATCTCCATCTTGGAGCCATTGAACTCGTGATCTTTGGCGCCAATAGATTTCTTTTTGTTTAAGAAGAGATTGATGATTAAGATGGAGAATATTTAACTCATTAAATGATGTAAAGTCTACCCCAAGGAATTATATATATATAGAGTCCATGGGTCGAACGGTTTTTCAAAAAATCCGATTCATTCGCACGACATTTAATATCCGAGCATCTCTTCCGTCACCAAGACGGGGCAACCTCTGTCCCATTTCAGACGAACCAACCCCTCAGCATCTCGAGCATACAAGAACCACATTTTCCAATCGTCCAATTTATAGATACATTTTAGCAAGAACTTACACGTGGGCCGGGGTAAAATTGAAAATGTGGCCCTCCCGATAGTAATGGCCTCACGATAAACAAACCATGGAACAATTCGGGGGATACCGGAACTTGTGCAATTTCCGCTCGATGGCAAAAACCAAGGAAGTATAAGTGAGCATTAGGAGTTAGTTGACTAATACAAATCCCGGCGTCTTGGCATATTTCTACAAGAAGGGGATTCGGCGATAGAGTAAAGTCAACCATGAAAGGGACGCCATAGAAGGTAAAAAAGCCAACCGACGGAGCATAGCACCTAGACACGGCCATAGGCCGGTTTTCGGCCCGGAACGGGCTCGAACCGGCCTGTTGACGATCCGGACCAGCTCATTGACCGGTGAACCGGTACCGGAATCGTGAACCGGCCCGTGTCCCTCGGAACATGCCCGGTTCTGGAATTATGTGAACCGTGAACCGCCGGGCAACCCGGCGGTTCACCCGGATTTAAAAAAAATAAAATAATAAAACAAAAAGATGTAAAAGGCAGAACATGCCCAATGAACCGGATGTTATTTGCTATTTTTTGTCTATTTAAAAATAATTCTTGTAATTTATTTATACATCAAGTATTTTCAAAAAATATATATATATATATATATATATATATATATATATATATATATATATATATATATAAAAAAATAAATTAAATATAAATTTCTGGGCTGACTCGGAACTGGTCCGGATAGGCCCGGAACCGGAGTGAACCGGCGGGTTGGCCCCGCGAACCGTATATTGTACGGGTCGGTTCCGGTTCCTGAAAAAGGGAACCGTGAACTAGCCCGAACCGGCCCATGGCCATGTCTATTAGCACCTATCACCATTGGCCGGCATTCTAATTTCCACATCTTCAACGACCCCAAGGCAAGCACGAATCTCCATCAACTTATCCGTAGCAAACAAAGTGCCAAAATCTAACTCCCCTAAGAGCTCTCCATCAAGTCTCGCACTCGGCCGAATGGCCTCATCCTGCGTCACTTTTGGCAACCCCAACTCAATCGAACTACTCCCATCATCACTACACTCTAATGATTCCACCGACGACAACCGCGGCGGAGTAGGTACGAACGGCAAGAGCCGACCATCCATTCAGATGAAGTGTTGTCGAACGATTTTTCCCTTTGAGTAATCCGAGCTAAGGACATGAACGTCGTCGCCCCAAGATGAGAGAAACGGACAAATAGGCCCGGGTACCTTGTTTTTCGTCGTCGCCTTGTGCCCTTTTAATTTCTGCAAGTTACGATTTGTTCCGAACACATCAATCTTTTGAGACCACGCCCAATGCTCTGGGTCTTCCAAATCGATTCCTGGATCAACAATGTTGGCCATACCACTAGCCTCGGCCGCCGGATCCAGACCCCTTGAACCCCACAGCTCCCGGCCCAATAATCTCAGACCCGATGACTCCCGGCCCAATAATTTCAACCTGACAGCTCCCGGCCCAATAATCTTGGACCCGACGGCTCCCGGTCCACTAATTTCGAACCTGACGGCTCCCGGCCCACAACTCTCGAACCCAACGGCTCCCAGCCCACGACGCTCGGACTCGACGGCTCTCGGCCCACTAAGCCTCAGACCAAATACCCCCGCCCGGTCGCCTTTTGACCTGAAGGGGTTCGACTCGACAACCCTGCCCTGTTGCATTTTGGACCAAATGGCTACAAATCGGTACCCTTCGACCCGGACAAGCTCGACCCTGGCACCCCTCTCCTCCCAAACCGCCGCCAACACCACCAACCTCCTCCTCCCCACCACCGTCTTCCCTCTCTCCCACTACCCCCACCGACTCATCACTTGACTCGTCCAACAAAGTCCAACCCATTTAATTAAAAAAAGAAAAATGAAGAAGAATATATTTGTATGTAGTAATAGCAAGAGGGGAGGGGAAAGTGTAAAGAACAAAGAAAAGCAAGAGAGAAGAGGGAAAAGAAGAATTAGAGAAAGAAGATTTTCTCTTACATTGATCAAAGTCTTCAAAGTGAGAAAT